GAAGTGTTCAACAAGTTTGGAACAAGCTGTTATAAACAACATGTAACAACCTTGTTGATCTTATCTGACTTGTTGCTAGGTTGTTCTAACAAGTCCGATACAGTCATGATATAACAATATTATTACAATCTTGTGTCGTCAACCTTGTAGCACTCTTGTTATATCATGACTGTATCAGACCTGTTAGAACAACCTTGTAACAAGCCTGATAATGTACGACAACTGGGAACAAGCAGTGCGAACACAACTTGTCGACAGCTTGTGAACAGATTTGTAACAATTTGTTTGCAGACCTGTGACAACTTGTGCGTTTTTATGTGTGTAGACACGTAAGAATCTCGCATCTTGTAGCGTTTGCACTGCTTGTCCCAAGTTGTTGACAACAGTTGTTGAACAAGCTGTTAGCAGTTGTAACAAGATTGTTCCAACGAGTCCGATACAATCATGATAACAATATTGTTACAACCTTGTGTCGTCAACCTTTTTTGTGATATCATGACTGTATCAGACTTGTTAGAACGTTGTAAATAATACCATCAAGCAAGTTACAAGTTGTTAACAGCTTGTTCCAAACTTGTTACAACAACTGGGAACAAGCAGTGCGAACACAACTTATATCGACAGCTTGTGAACAGATTTTTAACAACTTGTTTGCAGACCTGTAACAATTTGTGTTTTTTTTTTTACGTGTGTACAAGGATTGTGCACCCGTCTTTTTGGACCAGCAGTTTTCAATGTGGACAGGCAAAAAATGTGAAAACTTAATCTTAAAAACTCCAGTATTTTGTCGAAACAAGTTTGTCAGGCCAGTATTTTTTTCTAATTCGACCCTTGATAACAGTAATAGACATTATACTGGTCGCTAAATAACAAATATCGCTTTATCCTTGTTTAGTTTCATCACAGTGTGCTGGTTCTAGATGGTGAAGGAGGATGGAGTCTACAGACCCTTCATTAATATTGTATCCTTTTAAAAAACACGACAATGTTGCAACTTGCAATTACCGCCTGCCCTACCCAAGTGGTTAAGGCCACATAAAATAAATTCCTTGATTCTTTTCACCGCCCAACAGTATTTTAAGAGCCGCGTGAAAATATTTTGTTATACAATATAAATGAACCGCCCGACAAAATATTTCAAGACAGTTAAGTTTTTTACATTTAAAATTGGGTTTTTAGTGCCATTTTAAACTGCCAATTTCAAACAAATAGAACCTTGAAAGAAATTTCATTGCATTTTAACGGAACTTCGCATTCAGTTCAAGGGTTCACTCATTGTTCGTGGAGAAATATGTTTATTTCGGTTTGTGACACTTCACTTTGGAAATCACAGAAATATTAAATGTTAGGAATTATCACTATCAGTTTATTTATTTATTGATGATAAATTATATAAATATAAACCTCCCAGCTCTTCGACATTTTCAAAGTCTAGTGATGAGAATCAAGGAATTTATTTTATGTGGCCTATAAAAGTCAGAATTGATTTTAATAAGATTCGATATAGCTGCCTCCTCATAAAATGAACAAGATTTAACCTAACCAAATTATAAACTATTTTTAAAAGTATTTTTATATTTTATTATGTTCAAGTTCAAATTTAATCAAATCAAAAAATATTTAGAATATAACAACGCAAGAAACGTATGTAATACGTATATATTTTATACGATAATTTAATATAATTTCACATTATTTCAAAATGGTTTCTTGTGTATTTGTATGATGATACAGATGCATGGTTGTAGAAAATCAGTGGCGGCACCACGGGGAGGACTGGGGAGGACACGTCACCCCCCCCCCCCCCAGTTCTCTTCAAGGTCAATTTTCTGATTTGTCCAAATCCAGTGAGAAAAATGGGGGGGGGGGGTGTACGTTTGTGACATCAGTCCAGTTATGTGAATAAAAACCGGTATTAAAAGATTTACTTTTGACAAAAGACCATTTCATTATTTCATATATGCGGTATTCGGTACATTAGCATATTACAGGCACTGATTTCGACTGCCGAAGGAAACCCACCATAATGGGTTAATAACTTAATTAATATACTTAAATATAAAATTATGTTGACTTCAATTTTCCTGGAAGAAGCAATTCCTTTAGGCAGCTGTACATCAAAGTAAAGTCATAGTTTTTATATATACATATATAATCATGAAAATATCGTGTGATTTGTTCACTTTATAATCTTCGGAATTCTGTATAATCTTACCCTGAAAATGCAGGAAATCGTATTTCAGGGACTCTAGATTTCCAACATTTTCCAGGGGGCATGTCCCCGGACCCCCCTAGAAGTGCCTCCCACCTTTGCCGATCGAAAATCCCCCCACTTTTAAAAGGCTGTCGCCGCCACTGTTGTAGATTCTTTAGGGGTTTACTAGTGCAGACACTACAGGGGAGGCAAGGGCCACCCCCCCCCCCACTTTTCTAATGGGTCTCTCCTTTTCTAATGGGTATCACACAGATCACAACTTTATGTTCAACACAACTTTTATTTGAATGAAAAGAATCTAAAATACAAGTACTTTACACTAGTATCAGCCTTTAAATTAAACACTAAACTATAATACCATAATGAGTCAAAGTGAATGTCAGCAATCAATGCTATTTCATTCGTTCAGTGACGTTGAAAAGATACAACGCTTGTGGAGGGACTTTTACAGCATCCAAGCTTATTTCGCCTGGTTTCGTATCAGCCGTGTGATAATTCAGGGTAGCACTTTTGGCACCGAGTAGTTCAATGAGATTAATTGTATCCTCAGTCTTACCAAAGTTTATGGCCACTGCAAATCTGGGTACTTTATCTACGAAGGTGTACGCCAACACATCTCCTTTGGCGATTACAGTAAAGTTCGCTAGCGGACCATCAAGGAGTGCGCTTACATTCTCCATCCGTCGTTTCACAGCATCTGTGAACATTTTCCTCATGTCAAGTTGGTCGTCTTTGGCATTTGTGTATTCGTAGTTACCTACAGCACCGAACCAAGTAGACTTGCCTGAAGTGAAACCTAAAACAGAATGAAAAAATATTGCATAAACAGTCCTGAAGAAGCTTTTGAATTGGCTGTCTTGCAGGCACTGGATGAGCCGATAAATCGGCAATTAATCGGCACAAGCCGATAATCGTCAACTTTCAAGCATGTCGGTTATCGGTCGATCACATCAACATAAAATCAGTGGTCCGGATATATATATCGTTCTGGCTTTCACTTGCGATCTTTGTAAAGAAAACTGAGCAGGTTTGCATGACAGACGCTCTTCCACAAAGGAAGTATCAGATGTACTTAATGCCGTTAGTCGTTTACCAGGATACTTTTCTGAAATAAATTGAGTCGATTCAATCTTCGACTATCCTAATGACATTTCTGTTACTGGTCTGTTAACTCTTGTTATGTTTTGGTAACATTTTGCCCAAATTTTGATGTTGGAATTTCGTGTTAACACATATCAGAAACCACTGATAAATTGGCCAATCGGATCGGAATTTATCGGATCGGTAAATTTGATTTTTTATTTTTTTTTAAATCCTGGCATTCTAACAATTTTTAACTTTCAAAACGTAAAATAGAATGCATTTTTGCAAGCCAATTCTGAAGTAATGAATTTTGGATTCTGCTGTTTTTAATAGCAGTGATAGCATATTTGCTTAATTAATACAGTGAAACCCTGCCATATAAGAACTTAGAATTTAAGAACCTGTTGGACTAATTTGTGCATAATTTATATAAATTATATACCACACCTACCAAAAATGAGTTGGTTTTTTTTCTTAAGAAAATAAGAACTTATTTAAAAACCTGTTTAGCCCAATTTTCTGGTAAGAATCGTACAACATAAGAACCTGTTTAGGCTAACTTTGAAAAATCTAAGTTCTTATTGCAGGGTTTTACCATACTGCACTGGAACAGTTTGCAATTCCACTTTGTAAATATACGAACCTGCATTTGTCGAATTCTCCCACTGCATCGGGGCTTTGTTGATGTCTACTGCTGCATTGCCAGGGTTATTCACATTCTGCATTCCAATTTCATCACCGTAAAATACAATAGGTGTTCCGGGTAACATCAACAAAAGCGCATCCAACGACCTCGCCAGTTTGCTGTCGACATTGCTCCCGACTCGACCGTGAACCCAACTGGTTAACGCCCAGCTTGGCCAGTTATCTTTGGAAAGTTTTTTGATGTAGTCAGTTATGATTTTCTTGAAGTTTGCAGCGGTATAGAAACCGGAGGGGCTTTCAGGGACAAGCTCAAAGTTGACGACGATGTCAAGCTCAGGAAGATCTTTGGTTCCGTAGAGTTCCAGGTTTGCCGGGTGGGACGAGCCAATGAGGATACTGTCGGGGCTTTTCTTTGTTGTGTAATTTTGCCATTTCTGGACAATTGTATGAATCTTGGTCCAATCTGAAGGAAATGATGCAAGCATGTAAGATGGAATGTGACATTCCAGAAAAGATCCACCCTCCCCTTGAGAGCTGCAACATGCCTTAACTTCAAATATTTTTGAAGATTTTTGAAGTTAAGGCCATGTTACACATTGCAATTTTTCTTGCAACTTGCAATGCAATTCTACTCTTGAGAGATGTAAAATTGCAAAATACGAGTCTTCATTACACTCCGCTGATGTTTTTCGATGACATATCGAAAATTCTTCACTGATTTCACTAATTAACATCTCTAAGAGTAGAATTGCATTGCAAGTTCCAAGAAAAATTGCACCGTGTAACATGGCCTTTAGCAGGGGGAATTTTATTTATTCTTCAGGTAAAATGCAACGAAAGCTCCCGTGCGCCTATGGATTAGGATTAAGTTTAGAACTTAGGCCCCGTTTACACTATACCGGATTGCATCGGAGCGTAGCAATTTTCATACCGGATTCCGCTGCTGTTTACACTACGCCACAGTAATCCGGTACGCGACGCGGAGCAAAAATCACTCCGCTTTGGAGGTGATATGAAAAGTAATCCGGTATGTGCCGGAGCAGTGTAAACAGGCTAATCCGGTACGCTTCAGTACAAAATCGATTTTGGTGTGTATGTTTTAACATTGTCGACTTTATTTGCTCGCTTTTACAATACTTTATAGCTGTTGTTTGTTTCGCCTTACAACCATTTACTATTTCTGCCGAATACAAATAAAGAAAACGATAATAACATTGACTTTTCGCTTTCGAAAGAGCAATATTTAAAGAAATACTCGTCAATTTTGGATTAGAGCGAAATGAAGCAACGTCTGGTGGTCAAGCTTTTTAAACAAAGTTATACTTTACAAAGAAAACGGGCGTTACTTCTTGTTTTTAATAAATTTTGGTATATTGGCTACTTGTTTCCATGGCGACAGTGAAAGACATGAGCTGGCAACGCGGCATAGTGTAAACACCCTTGATTTTTTACTTCGGAGTAAAAATTAATCCGGTATGAAAAGTAATCCGGTATAGTGTAAACGGGGCCTAAAAGACTCGAATTAGAATTGTAATGATAAAGAGCAAAAAATTCCTATATGTAAATTGTGATTGTAAATATGGAAATTGGTTCAGAAAAAAATAATTAAGATTCAAATTTATGGTCGATATTGATCAGGCATGTTTACATTCTTCAACCTTTGTACTGTATCGAATATCAATATGGATGATGCAACTCCTAGTAGTAGCACATGTTGTTTTGTTTTTAAAATTAAACAAACATTTCGGGCTAAAACTACACGTTCTTTAGCCCGAATTGAACAGTGTAAAGTCGCGATGTGGCCTAAAATATAGAAATAGGACTAGGAGTTACTATCGCAAGGAAAATGCTGCCAATATGTACATGTAGGATGTGCTACAAAAAGAGCGTTTTTCACTGTATGTATGATTTATTGTCTTACACATCGTCGTTCCTCAGTTACCTTCGTACAAT